GGGGGGGGGGGTGTAGTACCGGCATGTCCGACCCGTACACGGCGAATTTCCGCTGCCGTGTGGAGAATAATTAGGTGATAATTGCCGCTAAATTATGCATATTCCAGCAACGCACGGAGCGGTGCACGACCATTTCCTGCCGTGTACGGGGATGTACAGGGATCGTGTCCGGGCATATAACGTCCAGTACACGACCTGCACACAAAAAGTGGTTCATTTCCGGGAGTGTACAGGACATGTACGGGACTGGACACGTTTCGTGTGCAGGTCGGAAACCCCCGGGTTCTACCGGAAACCTAAAATATCCGGGAAAGTGTGCGGCAATTTCTCACACGGAAATTGGGGATTTTGTGCGGTGAAAGTATTTTACATTATCAAATTCAAATGATCATAACATTCATATCGCAATACTATTTTGTAGATACACGACAATATTGTCGGCTCACCAGGCACGGTCTACTCTGGCTGCCATGCTGAAATCTCCGGCAAACCCCGCCTAACACTAGCTGTTCTTGTCGGCATGAACGCCAAGGCGGCACACAAGTTGGTAGCGACAATAGCGGCTCACTCCAGCAGGATACCGGTTACACTCTTTCTGTATGGAGACTTCGTGGAAGCGTTTCCTCAACTGGTGAAAGAATGGTCTAAAACTTTCACAATAGGCATGCGCGAGGTGAGGTATCGTAAAAATGCATTAAATTAATTACATGCCAAAGAATTTGATTGTATAATTTTAATCTAATTATAAGTCACACCTCTTGGATGTAACATTTTCTTCACACACATTTTATAATGGTACATTTCGCAAACTTTTGTTTTAGAGCCAACCATTTCCGCTTGGAGACTTCACGCAACAGCTATTGGGCTGGATCCGGGTTGGTCTGGTCAGTGCAATACAGCGACTGAGTGAAGTGGGCCTACAACCAGCCTATTACTGCCCCGAAAACGTAACAGACACGTTGATAAAAGTAGCCAAGTCTCAGGGTCTGAGGATCATCCAACCGACAGCTCGTTTCCCCCCAACCGATGGTACTTTTTATTTTTTTTTACATTTGCCAAGGTTATGTTTTTGACAATGTTATGACGTGTGCGTTTCTGTGTGTGTGTTTGTGTGACTGTATTTATACCCGTAAACACGATAACTGATATTTGTTTACTGGTAGGTCTTGATGACACTTTTAAAATTAGATGATTGCCCCCCCCCCCTAGTGTATGGTTATGGTACTGCAGCGAAACGTTTGGTTTGAATATTAAAAATTCTTGAAAAGGCAACTAATAAATAATCATCATTGCATATGGTGGAGCCAGCAATGTCCTTTACAATGCTTTGACAAAAATGCTTTGAAAAAAAAAAAAACAGATGTTCCTCACACGTACATGTAGCGAAATTTACAGGATGGGTCGAGAAGGTACGGGGCTAAATACCAAATACACCTAATGGAGAAATCAGCCGTTCTTCTCCGAACGATGTTATGACATACTTACTTACCTCACTTTTGTCGACCAAATTTAACCTCGAATAGCGCATGAACGGCTTGCGCTAGAACAATAAAATTTGGTGACTTTACCTTAAAATGGCAACATTTCTATATTAACTAGATGAGTTAGCGATTATTGTATTGTCGTGGCAACGGGTTTCTGATAGGCAGTTTTTGGAAAAATCTAAAAAGTTCTGAAAAATCTGAAAAGCTGTATGTTAAATTACACTTTCTTTTTAACATCTAAACATCTTATATATTTATGAATAATTTCTATGATTAAATATTCATACTTTTTGCTAATTTGATGACACATCAGTCAAAATCCAAGCTGTCGGAACATATAATTAAATCTTGTGTAACCATGTTTTTTTCACTAATTTTACGTCTCAAATCCGTATTTGTCACATAAAACGTTCACATGAATCATTTTTAGTTTTATTGTTGCGTTTTGAGGCTTTATCTTGTAAAAAACCGCAATTTTCAAATTCAAGATTTCCGATCCTAGATGGCCTACAGTTTAATTTGCATTGACGTCATTTTTTGCCGTCAGTTTTTTCTGTCAGGAGCAACATAGGTCTAAGGGGACATTAATATTCTATCATACACACTTTTGGTTAAAGCTTGGTTGTACGAGTTCTACGGGAAAAATTGACGGTTTAAAAAATCACACAAGTGACGACATAATGGCGTCATATTACGTTAAAATTACACAAAAGTTGCTGTTATGAATTAATTTTATTGTTGTATGAATTTGGGGCTAAAACTGACCGCACCAACTTTGATGTCACATAGCGTCTGAACGGCAAACGCAACAACCGCCAACTTGGTGACTTTTCAAAAATATTGTTCGCAACAATTTTGTATCATTGGAATTAGATAAAAAAATTGTGTTGCCATGGCAACAATAGAATTTTGTGTTTTTCAAGTTACACATGGTTTCTAATATTAATAACAAATCATAATTTTTTTCTAAATTTAATTATTAGAAATGCATGATTTATGCTAATTTGATAACGTCATTTGTCAAAAGTGAAGATAGTGGACCATATCATTAGAACAGGTATATACAGGTTATTTTCCTTAAAATATCATCAATATATCCATGTCTTTTTACAAATAAAGGTTCATATAAACGTCTTAAGTCTGTTTGTATTTTAGGCTTTATCCTGAAAAAGAAACTATTTGAAAAAAATTCAAGATTGATGATCGCGGATGGCGGATAACTAAAATATGCATGGCGTCATTTTATGACGTCACCTGTGTTGCTATGGCATAAGTATACCCAAATATTATGTCATAAACACTTTCGGTACATTTATGTTGGATACCATTTAGATTTAAGGGAAAAACAGGTGGTTTTGGCTGGTAAAATCACATTACGTGATAACGATATCAAAATTATAGTTATGATAAATTTTGACTAGTATGCCATCCTCTCAAATTTGGTGGTCATACGATATACCGTTTGCGAGTTGCCCCCTACCCCACCCCACCACGTCTCACGAATCCCAAAAAACCTGGTCTAGATTGGGCCAGAGCAACCCTAGGTCTCCTTTGCCTTTTTTTAGCCTTTTGTGGGTTAATCCAAAGGACAAGCTTGGATGCTATTGTGTCCGAATGCCTAACGCAACCAAGGGTTAATCTTAAAAAAAGCTGTTCGTTATGGAATGTTGGCTCCTAGGAGATGTTAAAAAACATACGGAACTTCTTATTTATCATTCGTCAATGCATTCAGAAATTTATTGTTTGAAATGTTAACCAGCCTTGAATGTTACAGGATCATACGGTGGCATTATAAAAAAGAAAGCAGTATCTAATCTGCTAAACAGTAATCATACCAATATGCTTGGTATCTTCCGTGAAGCTAATATTCTGTGCAGGGGTTCAGAGACTGTCTTGGTGTACGGGAGAGTGATGCGGTTTTTGTCCCTTTGTTGTTCTGTTGGGTGGTTGCGTTTGCCTTCTTAATGGCCTATTTAGGTTAACCACAGCAATTTAGAGCCTGTTGCATGTGTTGTATTTCTGTATCCCTTTTTTGTTGATGGAGTTAACTCTGCGGAACAAGGTCTTAACGACTCCACGTCCAATGCTTGTGTTCCAGGGGGTGATTGCTGCCCCATGCATCTGTTGGTAGAAGATTCAGTCATACAGAAAGTAGGTGCTGTGTAAACAGACTTCCAGTAGTTTGACGATTTGCGCAGGTGACATGGAGGAACCTTGTGGTAGGGCAAAGTCCTCCTGAAGTCTTCGTAGAATGATGTGCAGTGATTTGTTGACAGGAACAGGCGTGGAAAGTGAAACCACATCAAAAGAGCAGAGCTCCTCGTGGTTTTCTACTCTAAGGTCTTGGATGAGTCCGCTTTAAAATGTTTCAACAAAAACTCACCTGCAGTTCTAGAACAAGCCGCTAGGGGGGCAAAACTCGTCCCATTTATTCCTGACAAGAAAAGCTACCTGTCGCAAAAATCCAAGACCATAGCATCTTCAGGAGAAAAAGATACAAAAAACTGAAAGTTCTGCTGCAGTACCAAGGTCATCTAACAGAAGGCTTATATATAACTTTGACCTTTGTCTTCCTAAGACCTACCAACATGCCAAATATCATCCATTAATATTCTGTGTGCGAAAAAGTCCAAACTGCCGTCACATGCAAAGCAACAAAGGTCTTTCCTGTTCGGACCAAAAACCAAATGGCATTAGGTTACCTTAAAGTTAATTAAGTCCATAGGGAACGCATTCGTGCAATTTTTTTTATTGTTTCAAAGCGATATTAGTACTTACACAATCCCATAAGGGGAGAGTCCTGTTAAAGTTAACCGGCATTTGCAGGTCCTTGGCATAGTTTGACCTGTTAATGACCTTTAAACACCTCTTAACTGGATTAACTTACTCCCTGCGACAGGGGTTAAAATCCTAATAATCAATTCAAATTTGCGCTATAGCTCGTTTAAATCGACCTTTCACTACTTATTTAGTGGTCCCTCTCAATTAATATTCTGAAGAGAACGTCATTCTGATTATGCTAAAATATCTTAACTTTATCAACGGCACAATTATATTCTTTATATAATGTTTTACAATGTATTTTTTGACAGAGCCATGGCGTCTATCTTTTGAAAACTACTACAAAAACATAGATGTAGATAGGATTCCCAAAGCGCTCCGCGTCATCGCCAAACAACTGGACAACAAGGGAGGCATCGTTACTCTGGACTCGGACCACCCGGACAGTTACATGATCTCCGTCTTCCTCATGGACTATCTGGTTCAGACATCTGGTTACAATCTAGTTAGTATTGCCGAGTGTCTAAAGTAGCCTTATTAACTATAGCTGCTAAATCTAGAAAAGAAAATGAATTTCTTGTTATATTTCATTTATACTGGTCAATCATATTGGTTACAATGGGATGACTTTATTTTATCACCCCATTTACATGAAATCATACAAAATCATCAATTATGTGCTTGTAGAAGTGATTTCCATTTTACATTAACCCCCAAACTATCAAACTTTTAACAACCTATATGACCGAACAGGGTAAAACATTGAACCCAATAATATGTCCCAAAATATTTTTTCTTTGCATTTTTGGTGATCTTTTCATATACATTGCATTATTGTAGAGTCCATTTCACGTCACCGCGCGGGTGTATTCTCCCATTGTTTCGATTTTTTCAAATGTTTGCAAGCATTTCTAAAAGAATTACATGGTTTTTAAACATTTCGAACTTGGTTTTAACTTTGTTAACAGTTTTCCCTAATCATAAAACGTTCGAAACATTCTAAAAGCCATGTACGATGTTTTGAAAGAATTCTAAGAAAAGAATTCGCGTGAATACCATTTTTTCGAAAAGTTTTGAAATGTTTGTAATTGGCTAAATGATCTGTGAAAAAACTAATCCCCTCTAGCCGACTGCAGCCCAAATATAGAAAGGACAGGGGGCATCCCGTGGCGATTCTGACAGCCCGACCCTTTAGCGACCAGCGATAATGTAAACAATCACTCCACCAAACGGCCGCGTGAAAAATCAACTCCAGTACGCGGAACTTGCTCTCGAAAATTTATCAAGCCGCTACGCTTCCCCCGCGGCTGCCTTCCCTCCCAACTTCTCCAACACTACTTCAAATCACGTCAAAATACATCAAGACATGTACAGAAGCGTGTTCATATCTTTCATGCTACAGTTAAAACCAAGACCCTCCTTGAGTTAACGTTAAAAACACGAGACAAAATTTCAAAATAAATCGCAATCAGCAAGATTTCATTCCTGTCTCATTCATTAAAAGTTCTCGTCGATTGTAAAATGATCACTCATCTGTTGTCTCCACTAGTGTGTCATTTGTAGCGTAATCACGGCGTGCCAAAAAAATCAGTCAAAACTAAGAAAATCCCGGAATAAAAAACTTGCAAAACGTGTTCTCCACATCGCTGTACAAAAACCATGCGCCATTTTGTAATTTTAATATGTAAATAGCAGCGCGCGATCTACGCTCTGATTGGTTCACCTCACATGACCTGCGCTCCGATTGGATAAGCGGTATCGCGCCGGCAGCGCGGCAGAATTTCTTTATCCGCGAAGAGGCACATTTTCGCTGCTTTCTACGTGTTTTCTACGACTACTTAGCAACATCCTTGATCTATCGAAAAAGGGTGATTAGACTCTAAAAGAATTTTCGGGACAATTTCTATGCGCCGATTTGTAGTGTCATTTTGTTGTTCGAGCAATATAAAAATAACCCGCGGTACCCGGAAGTCTACCGAGCTGGATTTCAATGGGACTTTTCCATATATATATACGCACCGTGCCAACATTGGCCGGTAAAACACAAAACAGCGCTAGAAATCAAGCCCGATAAATAAGCTGAAGCTTGTGAAACCGACAAAAATACGAAGAACGTGCGGTAGGAAATGTGTCAAATCGCCGAAGGGGCTGGCGCTGGTTTCCAAGCGATCCGCCCGTCCAGACGGCCGCGGACGTCCCGCCGCGCGAGGTCTAAACATTAACAGCGGCCTGTGGATCGGGGATTAGCGTTTCATTGATAACAGGCAATCTTCTTTTTGGAAAATTTAGAAACTTTTCAAAATTCAAATTGTGTTTGTGAACATTTTAAGATCCCATTTGGTTGCCACTTTCAAAATTTTTGCAAATGATTCTAACATCTTCAAAAACATGCTACTCAGGTACTTAGATTTTTTATAATAATTTCAGAATATTTATAATATTTTCGAGTTATTTGAAACTAATTAGAAAATATTAGAAATATGATTGAAAAACCCGCGTGGTGACCTGGAATGGACTCTAAGAGGTATATCATAGCTTGTTCAAATGTGAATAATTAGGCTTACTACCATAATTTATGCCAAAGAGAGATGGCCCAGATGTTACTGATTTTATTGCTAAAATTTTATCTTTTACGTGTCTAACATGTCTATAAATTTATCAATATTAGCATTAAAGTGCATCTGAGTTGGTAAAATACATTTAAAGATAAAATGTTCTCCAACCGAAAAAAAAAGAAATTAACTTACCAGAAATGTTCAACTTTGTCACCATTGGTATACTACAAACTAGAAACTATGTGCAACACTTTATTATATTCATATCTGGACTACTGTGCCACTGCCTGGTTGCTAGCGCTACTGACCTGCAACAAGACAAGAACACAGCAACTGAACAGGCTGCTGAACCGTGCTGCCAGAATCATCACCGGCAGAACTTTGCAGGACCGAGTACCTACTGAAACTCTATTAACAGAGGCGGGTATTGAAACACTATCAAGAATAGTGGAAGTAAACACACTAGTGACTGTTTTTAAAGTACTAAACAAGAAAATTCCGCCTTACTTGTCTGAAATGTGTAAGTGGTTGCCACCCCCAATGTTGAACAGAAGGGACGCGGTTAGCTGTAAACCAGTTAAGCGACGGTCACAACCCGCCGTACGTGCTTTTTGTTCATACGTTTTTGGGAGGCTACGTCTGCTACGTTTTTAATGAAAACGTAGGGAAGGAGTGGCGTCGACGCACGTCACTCGCACGTCAATCGCACGGTTGCGCAAGGTGTAAGAGTGTGTTCTGCACGTTACGTCTGGCCGTGAGCGGTTGCTTGCATTGTACGTTGCGCAAGTGGTAAGTGAGTTGTACGTGCTTACAACGTACGATCTCTGTGCGATTGCAACTTTACCGTAAGGTGGCCGTACTCACACGTGCTTCTTCCGCACGGCACGTACGGGGCACGCACGTCGCTTGTACTCGCACGCACGTGTGGTGAAACCGCAGACCGCACGTAGAAAGAGTTTTACATGCACTTAAAGTTCTACGCCGTGTCTACGTGCTCCCAAATCCGTAGGATTCCGTACGGAGGTGTTACTCACCACGCACGGATGCCCTACGATTGCCCACGTTTTTGCACGTAGACAGCACGCAGAAGCACGTACGGCGGGTTGTGACCGTCGCTTTGGCAAATTGGGACCCTGACATGCTGGTTGTTCCACCGGCAAACATTAACGCATACAAAGGGAGCCTGTAGTACCAGGGTCCAGTGCTGTGGAACCAGCTCACGATAGAACAGAGAAAGCGCCGAACTGTAACGGCCTTCAAAAACTCATTGTAATTATATTGTATTTGTACTGCTGTATGGCTATTATGTGCTATGTACTGTGTTGTTATCATTGTATTGTTTCTGCATTTTTATTGTACCCAGGTCTACCTGAAAAGCAGGCCGAATGACCTGAGTGTATCTTCTGGTTAAATAAATAAACTGAAACAACTGAATCGCCCGGTCTTCATCAGCGTTATAACCAAAGTCCTTTGGACACGTGACTTTTTAGCCATGTGTGACGTCACCTGGCCATACTGTATCACTGGAAGTGGTTCAGATCTTGGGAACAGAGCAGGATTACTTTGAGAGGGGGTATGAAAGAAGCCATCTACATCAGAGCATACCAACCTTCGATCAATCGTGACAGTGGGTGGTACCGACTTTTGACGAACTTTGACCAAATGCTGACGTAACACTTGGCTAAAAGTCACATATCCACAACACTTGGGTCAGAAAGACCTCGCGATACAGCCGAACATTTCTGTTAAGTTATTTCCTTTTTCGGGTTAGAGAACAGTGTAATTTATTCAATATATCAATATGTTGCTATTGATGTTGAATAAACTCAGTACCATATATTAAAAAGCGTTCAGAAAAATAAATCCTATTGGATTGGATTGTTGCAAATTCTGATGTAGTAGAACAGACTTATTTTTTAAGTCACACGACATGATAACTCAAGTTAAGTCAAAGTTTTTGCACAGAAAATGTAGCAGGTACAATATATGGGGAAACTCTTCAGATGTAGAACACATCAGGGTAATATCCACACGATAGACGGTCTAAGGTTTAACACAAAAACGCTCCTGAGACGTTAATCATAACCTCTGAGACAAAGTAACTCACTAAGAAGGTCAAGATGTTTAAGTTTTTTCTTGATAATAAGACAGCTGATGTGATAAACTTTTTTCTCCAAATTTTTAAAAGATTTGGTATTTCTTTAATAATAAACCATCTTATGTTTTATTTGGCAATGTCATGATGAAAAAATATAGACTTCAGTCATTTCCAATTTTGCTGCATAGCTACATGTATATTTTAATTGCAATAATATGCAATCTCTCACGGTTATTACATCGTCAATTTTGAGTTGATCAGTTTGCTCAATATTGACGCATAGACCTTAAGTTTTAATTAAAGGCCCATTAAGTAACATTTTGACAATCCAGAAAGTATACTTTCCAGTCTTTTCGTTGCATATTAAATTTAACCTAGGGTTTCCTCACTGACTAATTTGGCATTTTAACTTTCCATCATTTTCTTACAAAGACATTTAGAAAGAACTGTAGTTGTACTAAATATAGATACCTGGATACAAAAGGGAAATGGATATAATTTTACCGACCATATGGATGGCGTTATCAAATTTTATTGCCCCAAATGTAAATATCTTTAAAGTTATAATATAGTACTTTTGTACAAGTTACTGCAATGAAATTATGATTTTCATGTGCATAATGGTCAAAGCTACAAATATTTACATTTGCACAAGTTGATATCTTACTGAATAACCTAACTGCCTAATTAAAATCTAGTTATTCTCTAATAACTACGGGTAATTAGCAGAAATCAATTTGACCATTATCCACTAAAAATCATAGTTTTGTTTCAGTTACTTATGTGCTATATTATAACTTTAAAGATAATTACACTTGGGCAATAAAATGTGATCACATCATCCATATGGTCCATAAAACAATCTTCATAACCCTTTTGTACCCAGGTAACAATTTCCGGTACCACTAAAGTTCTTTCTTATTTCATTTTAAGAAAACAAGGAAGTTAAAACCCATTTAGTAATCCAGAACAATATTCAGCAATCGCTGTTATATTAAGGCATCCCAGGCTGGTATTTATATTTAAGTTCGGGCGTGTGTCTGCAAAATGGCCCCAGACGGTTTTTCGAACCCGAATTATATTCCACCATGCTCGATTTCACGTCAGTTGAATAGAACGCGTGTTCGAATTCGGGGTTAACGGCGGCCATTTGTATGTTTCCCCTGTAATCCCGCGTGCAACGAATTCTATTTACGGTTTGCGACTTAAACGGTTTTACGCGCCGCTGAAAACAACATACCTGATGTCTAGAGTAATCCATGTTTACGTATTATCGCTTTGTTGATATAAATTCGTCCTTGGCTATTTTTCATAAATGTTTAACTTTTCTTACTAGGGCGATTTTTAAACTAAAAGTTGCAAATAAATTGTCATTTCTTCTGGTTTTGACACAAACAAAACAAAATACTGATTTTAGACAAAAAAAGCCTCGGACTAAAATTGTATAGGCTTGGCTCTCATCTTGTAAAATATAATGAGGAAAGGTGCTGTCACCGCCTGCGCGTAGATTCATCAAATAAACGGATAATTTTTAACCAAACTTTGCATTTTTAACTCAAAATCTAAGAGTAGAAAAACAGAAGTACATTTTAATCAATGTGTTTTAAGTACTACTGAAACTTTTTCATCTCGCAACCAAGCTATCAAAAGTTTCAGTAATTTGTATAGATTACTGCTTTTCCCTAAGCCTAGGCCGCCTTAACCCAACCGAGGTAGAATATGCGACATCCTTGATCCATACAAGCACGATAGAAAACTGAATAATCTTCTATTCAAACTTCTGGCCACACCGCGCATATGGTTGGCCACTGCTGGTGGTGTCGCCTACCTCTTAGTGGGGTGTCAGTTGACAGCTTAGATGTTGCTGAAAGACCTAATTGTTTACCACATTTTTAGTTTCCTTTAAAGGGATTATAACCACAGTTTATTGATGACCAACATAATACACTAAGTTC